TTGGTTTCTCATCATGACACTTTCTTGTTCAATCTTTAGATATTTGCAGATGATTTGTTTTTCTCTTTTCCCAAAGGGCATTGTACATGTTTCTGCAAACATTTTTCTACCCAATATTTTTTAACCATTTACATTCCATGTTCAGTTTATAGGGGCAACAATGGGGTCTTCAGAATTGCAGATACAAACTGATAATGGTCTGATTGGCATGCCAAGCAATTTCTGTTGTGTTGTTGTGGAGTATCTTGCTGGAGGAAATCTGAAATCATACCTAATAAAGAACAGGAGGAGGAAGCTAGCTTTTAAGATTGTCATTCAGCTGGCACTTGATCTTGCAAGAGGGTATCTATTTTTTCCACCTTGTTTAGCGGTTGAGCCAATAATTATCGTAATTTTTGTGTGCAACTACTCAACCTGAATTCACTTGGTTTTACAGGCTGAGTTATCTTCACTCTCAGAAGATTGTCCATAGAGATGTGAAGACAGAAAACATGCTGTTGGACAAGACACGCACAGTTAAAATTGCTGATTTTGGGGTTGCACGTGTTGAGGCATCAAATCCTAACGATATGACTGGGGAGACTGGTACTCTTGGTTATATGGCTCCAGAGGTGAGTAGTCAATACCTGAACAATCCTTTACAAATTAGATATTATTGTACTAGTATTTGTGACACATCGGAAGCCTTAGTTCAAAAAGGCATGCTGTGTACCAATATATTTCATGTTATGGGGAATTAGCATATCCTGTCCCAATATTTCATCCAAGTGAGGATAGGTGTTTCCAATTTTCATTTCAAGATTAGAGCTATTCAATGAGGGTAAATGACGACTTTCATGTGGCATCATATACTGTGAAACTGTGAATAAGAGAAGAAAAAGACGAGAAAAAAATATTTAATTGATCACAGAGAAAAATCTTTGTAATTGAATATTTACTTTTGTTTTCCCATCGGGGATGGTGTACAGGTTTTAAATGGCAACCCCTATAACAGGAAATGTGATGTGTACAGTTTCGGCATCTGTTTATGGGAAATATATTGTTGTGACATGCCATATCCTGACCTAAGTTTCTCAGAGATTACATCAGCCGTTGTTCGACAGGTATATTTTCTTCTCTGTTTTGATTGATTTCCTCACTTCAGCAGTGACTGTTTATCACTGTTCTGTGTTTATGGATCCATTATGATTATTATGTTCTGTTGGAATTTTAGAATTTGAGACCAGAAATGCCAAGATGTTGCCCAAGTTCTCTGGCAAATGTCATGAAGAAATGCTGGGATGCCACTCCAGATAAGCGACCGGAGATGGATGAGGTAGTTTCCATGCTGGAAGCCATTGACACAACCAAAGGTGGAGGTATGATCCCTCATGATCAGCAACAGGGTTGTTTTTGCTTCCGCAAGCATAGAGGGCCTTGAAGGTTTATTCATTAGTCTTGCAGACAATTTGGTTATAGTGATTTTTCACTATTTGAAGAATCAATTTGTATCTATAGTGAGAAAGCAGTATTTGGATACTAGATGAGACAAATACACAGTAAGGGGTACAGGTAGGAGGAGCTGGTGACATGTCAATATGTTGGGTGTGTAAAACTGTACCTCTGATTTTCTTTTACCTTTTTTCCCCACATTGGTTTGGGTTCTGTGGGTATGAGTATTACTTTCTGCTTGGCAATGTTGCCGGATTTGACTTGTAACTTGCAGGATCTTCATTATACTATCACATACTCGCAATCATAATTGATGATATTAAGTTGGATCCATTTGCTTTGAAACCAATACTTGCTTTTGTTAAACCAGAAGTAAAACCTCTTTGATCACTTGAATACAAGTTCTTCTGAAAGAAAAATCTCTTAATAGGTTAAAGAACCATTGCATTCTTCCTTTTTGTTATAATTATCAGAGAAAAGTATACAAAAAACTTGAATTTTCACTCAAGCAAAATGAGTTTCTACGTAGGCAATATGAGTTTTTGCATGAATAAAAGAAAACTACCTTCTTCCACCATTGTTCGACCTTTGAAATACAATTGATGCCAACCATACTCTAAACTTTTCACCTTGATGTACCACCTCAAAGTTTTCCAATCCTCGCCAACTTCTTCTATTCCTATCAGCACCAACTGACTTTATATTTAGTTTGTCAAGGCGCATCTTGAATTTCATCAATGAATTATTTTGGTAATCATACATGCTTGATTATCAAATGTGTGAATTTTTACCACTTTAAAGATTCATCATCGATTACATCTCTAATAAAATGGAATGTAATGTCATTGTGTTTTGTATGCTCAAGGTACATACAGTTCTTGCACAAGTGGATAGCACTTCAATGTTTATGCTCAACTTCTAGTACATTGATAATCTCTTTAATCCACAAAGTCGCCTCTATGACAGTTACGTACTTTGTCCTCTGTGGTTGAATGTGCAGAGTGTGTAGTATGGCGTTTTTCAATTAATTGCATTCGCAAATAAGTAAAAATATACCTTTTCATTGATCTCCTCGTGTCAAGTCTCCCGAGTTTGATTTAAATCAATAAAACTCTGATTGGTCAATTTCCTTAAACAAATGTACTGTACACAAGCCTTAAGGTTTTGGTCCCTAATAAATATCTGCATATGAACTTAACTCAGCTAAATCCGGATCATAATTTACACTATGCTTCTAATGACACTAGCATATGGTATCCGTGACAGTTTTTTCCTTATCATCATCAATCTGAAAATTGGGTTGATGATAACTTGGAAATGAGTTGCAATGGGTATTGTAATAGGTTTTACCTTTTCCATGTCAAATTTAGAAAGAATTTTGTCCAAGTAATCCTCTTGGTAAACCCTGGATATCCTACATCCATACTAAGATCTCAACTGTTGCTTGAGCTTATTTATTCATGAACTTGGTCAAAATCATTATCTAGTTCATTCTGAAATATATGTACCCTCAAGTTATCAATTGACTTTTGATATGACTTTACATCATGAAGCTCCTTCATGACTACTTCAGTAAAGGTTCTATTATTTTGTTATGCATTGAGTACTCTTTGATTTTGAACAAACACATGTAATCCATCACTTCTATCATAGAATGTTTTTTACAAAACATTTACAATGTCAAAGGTAAGTGAAGATATCTTTTCATGATTTTTGGCCTCGGAAACATCAATACCCATGTTTTTACTTTTTGGTTTTTGGTATACCATTTTTCATATTTTGCATGTTCTTCTTCCCGCAAATGTAAGACACTTTTTACTCTACGACCTCCGACCATCAACCATGATGATTTCTGGTAATGTTCTGCTTCAGATTCGCCTTCGGCAAGACGAAACTTTGGTGGATTGTGTCATTTTAAGTTATAAAGTATTCTCATTGTAAAAGTATATGTTTCATATATTTTGAACTTTAATGATAAGTATCAGTAAGTTAATCTTATCCTAAAATATGTACTGAATACTTACATGTGACACACAGTGTATTAGTGCATTGCATTAATTTTAAGAACTTGTTCAATTAATAACTACAAATCTATTCCTAATCTTTGAAATTAATCTTATTTGATTTGAATATGTTAAAAAAATGCTTTACAATCACAATCTATTTGCTGATAAAAAATATAGAATCTAAAAACAAATTAAATAATGAGTAATCAAGTCACTTTAATGTTAAAAATAGAATAAAAAACCATTATTAATAGGATATCATATCTATATCCAAAGGATTATAAGTTAAATGAATTACTTTAAGTTCAAAAAGGAAAGATTAGTTGCTCACAATAATAAGAGTTATCTTCAAATACATAAAGAAAGTGTAGAGAAAAGAGAAGTTATACTTAAAACTCCCCTGCGTTCTTCGAAGTTCTTCCTTTTTCCAATTTTCCTTGTGTCTCTCAATATTCAGACAACTAGATCAGAACAAATTTATTGAATTGATCACGAATGAAATAATATTCTTTATAAATAATCATTTTTGTTTTTGTTGATTTTTTATCTTTAATATATCAATATAAATTTGTTTTTCTTTTTAACAGTTTGATGAAATTTAATATATTCTATTAAACAATTTGACATATTAATTTGAGTTACTATTAAGAAAAATATGTTATGAACTATGAAATACTAGTGAAACTAACAATAAAAAATACAAGCTAATCAATCATTCATACAAATCATAAACTAGATGATTGTTGTGGAATTAGATGATTGTTAGTGATTATTTTTTATCTATATTCAATTCGTCTAGTAACAGAGGATGATTCATTCATTTATAGAGAAGAAAAACCTGTTATATATATACTCATAATATGCAAATCAAATTGAGAAAACTATAGATGCATCAAAATTTGTAAAAAAAAAAAAGCCGTTTTTATCTACCTGAAATAAACTATGAAATACTGTCCCTTTGATGTAATTAGTGTATTTATACTCTAATTTAACCTGTTGATTTTAGTTATCATAATTAAATTGAACATATATTTAAAAAAAAGATTAATATTAAAGTAAATTAATTTAAACGACACGAGAATTCCTAATTTTAATACAGTAATATATTACTTTTTTTTTCCTTCCTCGATGGTATAACCAAAATACTGGGGGAGTGTTTCAAGTGCTATAAAAGAAAACTGTGAAAATACTACTGAAAACTAATTTGGTGGGATTGTGTGGCGTGCTAATAATAGATTTGATGTCTGATTTATATATGTATATAAGGTTCAAATTCATAGGATGAGTTTAAGCTTATGTTTGATGTACATTTAATACAAATTTCATTTATGAGCAGGATTTATATTAAATTTGTGCATTCAGAAGTGAGAATAGCACACATTTATGCATTCATGATTAATAATATGGCTTCTTTTACCTTTTATCTATATATATATATATATATATATATCCTATATAAGATTCCGCGTAGTACTATAAAACATAATTTGATATGACAAAGAACAAGTATGGTTTAAAAAAATGTTGAGAAGTATAACTCATAATGTTTGAAATTTCTCAGCTGTCACCCGCTATTATTCATGCCAAAAAAATATTCCCATGAGCTCAGATGAGCATATACATCTTTAAAGCCAACAACATTGCTCTTTTCCAGACATCAATGCTGTTATTCAAAAACTACAACCATTGATTAATGCATGTTTCAATACGAGCCAGGAGTTTTGTTGGGAACTTGGTTATAAAAACACAACTTTTTTTTTCCTTTTTCTTAAACAGAAATACGGTCAGAAGCTCTGAAAAAGACTTCCAACTTTATGTTGAAACAAACTCTTATTCTTTTTGTCCCTTGACTTTGTATCTTCTGTGAGTTTCCAAGCACAAATCATATGATGTTAGCGGGTTCGTCGTCTTCATCCCAGTTGGTTGTTCGATAAAAAACAACGTAGAGGATGAGCTGTAACAGCCCAGAAAGTGTTCCCAAACCATTTGGAATCTGCCATTTAAAAACTTTAGTTAGTTTTTTCAAGTTCTCACCCTTTTCCTTTTTCATTACGGAATCATAAAAATAATAATTACCACGATGAATGGATCCCACTTAAGCAAGGCATAGGTTGTCCACACAATTCCATTGGCGAAGTTGGCGAATGAAAGTAAGAAAGGCATGTATTTCACGCTCTTGGTTCGAAGCACTTGTCTCTGCTCATTTTTTTTTTTTTAATTTTTTTGGTTTTCAAATGAAACCAAAAATAGATGATAACCAAACCAAACCACTATGATAGATATGCATAAATATTTAAGAAAAGAAATAAATTTGCATAGTTATGATTACACGTACGTACCATTACAGTCAAGGGTGCAAAATACATAAGGACGTTGAAGAATATGCAGATAGGTCCAACAATCACCTTTCTTCGGCTGGGGGTGTGAACAAAGGTCATCACCAAAAACACCAGTAACGCAAGGAAGATGATTTCACCAAGGAAGATGAGCAAGATCTTCCTCTGAAATTGTTTAGAAAACATCCATTAATTAGGGACTTAAGAATATATTATTACATTTTTAAAGTTGGTATTTTTTGCTCACCCTCTTGCTCCAGGTTGAGTAAATAAAGAAGACGAGAGCGTAGAAGATTTCAAGGAAGAAGCCTTTACATAATAAAATAATAGTGACAAATTATTTTGTAAATAACTAAAATGCAATTAATATTTATTTTATTTTAGTGGAACAAAATATTATAAGCACAACACATATTTTACACGTTATGCATTTTCTAACTGAAAATTCTAGTTTTACATGACACGTTTTTAATGATGTTTCCAATGTCTTTCTAATATATATGAATGATTGGTAAAACATGTCAAATATTCTATTAAAGGATATTAGGTAATCAAATATTATTTTACTTATAATTTAAATATTATTATAATTTGTGCAGATTTGTGCCACTGTCATTATTTAAATAGATGAAGAATCATAGGATCCTTGAATGTATATATATGGTACTCTACTCTTTGAAATAATATATCAGAATTATTTTTTAAACCTTTTATTATGGTATCAAGAGCCCAACACTGATATCTTCTACAATATAGGAATCAGTGCTTTTTTTATGAATATTTCTGATGGCTTCTTCCGATTGACAATCAATCGAGAAGAAACATGATTCTGAACTTCCGCTGCTTCCAAGAGGTATATTTCTACTGCTGTCGAATTTGTGACCAAGTCAGGTATATCTAACTCTGGCCTTAATCTTTCTGTTGTTACTAAGGGTAGTGATTGGATAATTGATTCGGGTGCTACTAATCATATGACTTGTGATCCTTATATATTTACTAATTTTTCCTCTAATGTTCTTAAAACTGTTATATTAATGTGAATGAAGTTTCTCATCTCGTAGTAACTACCTGATGTTGATTTGTTCTTACATTAAAAATGTAATCTTATCTCCGTTAGCAAGTTAACCAAATCACATTCTTGTGTTGACTTATTTTACCCAATCCATTGTCTTTTTCAGAACATCCATTCCAAGGAGAAGATTGCTAATGGTAGAGAGAGTGAATGACTGTATTATCTTGAAAATGTCTCACAATCAAACCATAAAAGAGGGTTGGCTTGTCTTGCGAACGATCACATACAAGCTAAAAACAAAAAAGAAATTTGGTTGTGGCATAGATGGTTGTAGCATAGACGGTTGGCTCAATTTCTCCACGGTTAGCTTGACTCTTCAGACGGTACCTTTGATCCTCTCTTGATAATACTAATTTTGATGAAATGATCATTGGAAAGTGATTCTTGTTTGGTGGAGACCACCAGCACACAAACACTGAGTCTACTATGTTCAATATATTGTTCCACCCATTCTAACTTGTGGTCAACCTCCAGTTTGAAATATGAACGACCTCCAACCCAAGGTAAAATATCTCATTAGTAAAATATGTGTCATCTCACAGGTTAATCTCAGTCATAGGAATCATTTGATCTCAATTTCTTCAATTTCCATTCCTAGAAGTACATGAAGCTTTGGCATATCCTAGATGGAAACTGAAGCAATGGTGAGGAGATGACAGCTTTAGAAAAAAACAACACTTGGGATCTTGTGTCCTTACCAAGAGGGAAGAAAACTGTGAGCTACAAATGGGTCTTTACAATTAAGCATAAAGGTGATGAAACTATTGAGAGGTATAAAGTACGACTTGTGGCTAAAGGTTACACTCAGTCTTATGATGTAGATTACCAAGAGACGTTCACACCGGTAGCCAAGCTCAATACTGTGAGAATACTTTTGTCGCTAGCTGCAAACCAAGATTGGCCTCTTCTAAATTTGATGTGAAAAATGCTTTCCTACACGGAGAAATTTCAGAAGAAATTTATATGGATTCTCCACCAGGCATGACTGATTCAATTGGAATCAAGGTTTTCAAATTAAAGAAGGCTCTATGTAGATTAAAACAATCCCCAAGAGCATGGTTTAGAAGGCATACCAAGTCTATGGAGACTTTGGCTATAGAGCAAGTAACTCTGATCACACCTTATTTTTTAAGAGAGGAAAAGGAAAAATTACAGCTTTGATTATATATGTAGATGAGATGATTGTTACAGGAAATGACCAAAATGAGATTTATAGTTTACAACAATACCTTGCATCTGAATTTGAGATGAAACAACTTGGAAATCTCAAATATTTTTTGGGTATTGAAGTAGCTAGATCAAAACATGGTTTATTTTCTATGCCACGAAAATATCTATTGTTACTATCGAAAATGGGCCTGCTTGGGAGTAAACCAGCTGATACACCAATTGAGCAAAATCATAAACTCTTTCAATGTCAAATTCAGCAAGCATAGACAGAGGAAGATATCGAAGGCTGGTAGGAAAATTAATTTATTTGTGTCATACACGTCTAGATATCACCTATGCAGTGAATGTTGTTAGTCAATTTATGCATGACCCACGAAAGCTGTCATATGGATGGTGTTTGAAGGATTTTGAGAATTTGAAGTCGCTCCTGGAAAACAATGGATTTTGTTATCAAATCATGAAAAACTTAAAGGTAGAAGGGTACAATGATGCAGGTGCAAGAATGGGCAAGGTTCAAAAGATGGTATTTAGAAGAATATTACATCTGGTTTTGATGACTTTACTTTTGTAGGAGGGAATCTTGTAACTTTGAGGAGTAAAAAACAATCTATAGTACCAAGATCTAGTATTGAAGCAGAATTCAGAGGCATGATACTAGGTGTATGTGAACTTTTGTGGATTAAAAATGTGCTATCAGATTTGGGCTTTAAACAAAATGAAGCTATGATTTTGTACTGGACAATACTTGGCTTTATCCAATGGCTCACAATCTTGTGCAACATTATAGAACAAAGCATGTGGAGATTAATAGACATTTCATCAAAGAGAAGCTTGAAGCTGAAATAATTTTATTTCCTTTTTAAGATCAGAATTGTAGTTGGCTGATGTTCTCACCAAAGGAGTGTCAAGAAGATTGTTTAATGAGTCTTTATTCAAGTTGGAAATGTGTGATATCCATGCACCAACTTGAGTGGGGTGTTAAGATAGACAAAATATTCTATTAAAGGATATTATTAGACAATCAAATATTATTTTAGTTATAATTTAGATATTATTATAATTTGTGCAGATTTGTGCACCTTGTCATTCCTTTAATAGATGAAGAATTATAGATCCTTGAGTCTATATATATGGTAACTTCTACTCTTTGAAATAATAATCAGATTTCTTTAACCTTTATTAGTGATGACTTTTTTTTTTTACCCGACCTTGATCCCAATTGTATTAAGAGTGGAAAAACAAAAGTCGAGAAGATTAATGTTGATCTTTTTTTATGACTTACCCTGTGTTTCGTTTGAGCGGATTTCCTTGTAGATGGGATAAGAGATGGAGATGGAAATGCGGGATTTTTTTTTGTTCGCTTGAAAAGAAATGGATGGGTGATTACTGGCGGATGGAAATGCGGGATTGTTTACCAACTCCCATCTCTCATGTTAGGAGAGATTTGAAGGGATTTGGTCTAATTTTATTATATTACCCTTATGGCTTTAATAATAATAATAATAATAAAATAATTATTATAATAATAATAAAAGAATAAGAAGGATAATAGAATGAATTAAAAAGGGACTAACAAGAATCCAGGTGGGGTTCATATTGAAATAAGGAAGGTGTAGGTTGTTGTCTGTGGGATAAGAAGGGGTGGAGAAGTAGATAAATATGGAATAATTATAATGTTAGAGTGGGGGACTAGGAAACAATTGGGAAGTTAATCTTCAATTTTATTAATTAAAATCTTGAAGGGTTACTAATTATAATATTAATAATTATCATTTTATATTACTTTAATAATTAGGGGTATTTTGGTAATCTTTCATTTCTATTCATTAAACAATTTTTTTTATTTATAACATCAATCAAATCCTACACTAATTCTCATAAACTTTACTTCCAAATCCACTCTCAATTATCTCCAAATCCACTCAAACAAACAACAAAAAATTCACCTTCAAATCCTCTCAAATCCATCCACTCACTCTCCCCCAAATCCTCTCCTCCAAGTGAACACACCCTTAGGCTATGTTCGCATGAACAGAATTTACTGTTCATGCGAATTACCGGGCGATGAATTGAAAGTGAGGTGGTGTTCGTTTGAGAAGATTGGCGAAGAAAAGCGCGGACCGATTTGCGGGATACATCCAATATTCATCACCCGCGAAAGTGAGAAGATTTGCAGTGATTTTATGTAAAATGTCGTGTGTGCCCCGTAACTTTATATTAAATTCCAGTGCATCCTATTAATTCTGCACCAGATTAACCGATTATGGTGCAGGGTAACCGATTACGAAGGGTTATAGATATTAAAAAAGTGTTGGTTTTGATTTGCAGGTTGTAGAGGACACGAGGACGAAGGAGGTGGGGCGTGTTGGTGGGAATGAAAGCAGGGGATTGTTGAAGATGAAGAACGGAGATGGGCGTCTTTGAGAAGAGATGATGAAACAGTGGATGATGCAGGGTAACGGTTATTTTAAAAAGGTTTGGCTTTGCGGTTACACTTAATGTGAAAGAAAAGTGGGCCAGGCTGTAAACCGGTTCCGAGGCTGTAAACGATTCCACTGGCTTCTGGAAACCGGCTTCTTCTGCTTCGCTCAACTCATCACTGCTTCTCCTTCTCCATTCCAGGTTTCACACGTCCAACTCCATCTCCTTGATTCTTCCAGCCAACATTTATGCTTTCTTCCTTATGCACATGAGTCTCCCTCTCCAAGGCCAAGACAATGGATCAAATCTTTTCCTCCACGGCTGCTTCAACACGTCCTCATTCCAGCCCTTTACTCATGGCTGCTAGATGATTCTCTTCTATGGATGCTTCCCCTTCTTCCAAGGCCATGTATTGACTTCTCTTTGCTGGACTTCCTTCTTCATTTTGCTGCTGCCATGAACGCTTAAAGTGTTGGTGCTGGACCGTCCCTTGCTGTTGTGTTGTTTCCTCAAAAGCTTGATTTAATGATCAATTCCAAACGTTCAGCCTTGGATTGATGGTGGTGTAAGGCGTGACGTTGACATTATGTAGCTTGCTGCATATCTCTCTTCTCAAAACCGTGAACTCCCAAGTGGAAAAG